CATGTGATCGCCAATATCTTTGCGTGAGCATCGCTCACCTGGCCAGTGTGACTACGAGTGTGATTCGGGCGGAGGAGCAAGGCCACAGCGAGTGGCTGTCATGTCGCAATGCACGTCAGGAACTGTCCAGCTCAAGACCTACTAATGCTGCCCGCTTGGTGTCTGCGTTCTGAGGCAACTGAACCCAAAAATATATCATTATGCACGCCACGATCGCCCGAATCAACCACCAAAGATGATGCAGCCGCTCCCATTAAATCACCAGTGTCCCAGATACTCACAACAATCATCCACTCAACGCCCAAACAGCGGCAACCCGTAGGCGATAACGTTGTCGGCGAACTCGTCAGAGCAGTACTGGAGCTCCAGCTTTCTGTCGAGTTGGGCAAACTATGTCGAGAACAACAACAACAACAACCGTCAAGTGAGTCTGAACACACCTACAACGACAGCCAGTTCCAAAGTCTGGAACGACGAGACTCTATCTCTCAGTGGTCCTTTACATCAAGTCTACCAAAAACGCCATGCAGTCCAGACACATGCACTCCACCGGTGCAGCCACCTGTTTTGAGGCTCAACGCGCTCCCCGTAAGAAGGGGCCTCTACAAGACAGAACTCTGCAAACGTTACCTTATGAGCAGGAATAAAACGTGCGAATATGGCCTACGTTGTAGGTTTGCGCATGGCCTCCGGGAACTGCATCTCACAGCGCGCCATCCGCGCTACAAAACAGAGGTCTGTCGCGCATTCTGTCTCAGCGGGTACTGTCGTTACGGTCGTAGATGTGACTTTATCCACGACGAATCTCCAGAGCACTTGAGAGTTCTGCGGACTGAAAATGCCCTCTATCAGGAGTACTGTGCCAGGCATCCTAACGCAACCGATGTCACACTTGTGGAGGTACTACGTGAGTTCGAGCCCTATTACCCGGAGCTGAAGCGATTCCTGCAGTATATTGAATCAGTTGGCTAATTTTGTAAGCTTCAATGCTTTATTAACGATACATTTGTTTGTTCAGTTATTTTGTTTTTGTTTTCTATGCTAATATGGTAATAAAGACGTACATTAATTTGATGTCTTCAGTACTTCCTGGGTGGCTTTCACAGGGAGGAAAATGGACAATAGGTGGAGAAAGAAAGGCTAAGAGACGGGGAATATGAGTGGCGAGTGCAATGCGATTAACAATGCGCCTGAATATTTGGCCTACAAGATTTAGTTAGGCTGCACGTATAGTGTGCGAGTGTGCGAATTTAAGCTCCCAGTCAATTGGCTCCGTAGGGGGTTTGTATGCAGCTTCTACATGCGCACAGGATCAGTTCGGGTGACTTGACTGTCGTAGTCCTCATTGGTGCAGGCAGGCAGCCTTGCAGTGGCCTGTAGCAGTTCGCCTGACGCCCATCTAGGCTTAATAGACCGGAACTGTTTCTCGTTCTCATCTCACATGGTCAAGGTAATCTGACATAGGTTTTCGTGGGCTTTTGAACAAACACGCACACCTACAACCAAAGTGCCTTATTTTGTGGCATGCAGTATTAATCTGCCTGTGTTCTGCGGGATTCGAATCAGGCTAGTGGAGGTCAACATTGAAACGTTAGTGGTTGGGACTATCCGGCTGATGGGATACATTCCAAGTAATGGTGCCTCATTCTGACAGCACAGGGGCCAGGTTAAACTTCATACGCGCGTGTTTTATCTATTTCCTGCTGCTACCTAACGCAGCTGCGTGGGGTTCAGCTCCTCAGTGGGTCTCCCAGTGATCCCTGCCTCCTTTCTGGTATAGAAACTCCAGTTCTCCTCGTGCGTTGTTTAGTTTTCGGGGGAAATGAATAAGCAAACGTTTGAACCGAGCCTGAAAAAAGGTATGGTCTAAAGGTTTTACTACAATTGCGCGCATTATTTTCATAGAAAAGTAACCGAGGCCGGTGGAGTACTGAAATCCTTATATCATAAAGCATGCGGGAAATGCTGGGGGACCCACTGATTAACTGAACCCCTCGCAGCTGCGTCCGGCAGCGACTCAAGATCGCGTGTCTGGACTCTTAGCTGGTACCTGTGCTGTCAGTAGGGTAAATAATTACATAGTTGTATCTTACTGATTGCCGGTTGTCAGTTGGTGTATGTTACGCGGCTTTTCCACGATAGATGATGGAAATCAGCTCTAAAAGCTATAGCCAATTTCGGATCGAGCCTGAGGAAGATTGTATTCTGTACACCAGGATTAGAGAGTAGTTAGGAAGAAGTTTTGACTGTCGGAGCGCACGTCCAGCCGCGAGGGGGGCTAGGTCCGAAGTTGTGTCTAGGGGGCTTACACCGCATTGAGGTCTGTGTCCAGACGAATTGAGGTCAACCTATTGAATGAGGTTAGTCTACTAACGCGGGAATCTCATTGGAGGGATTGAGGTCCAGCCACTGTGAATTTAAGCCAGATTGGGGGAGGTACGTTGTGTGCGTTTGCTAACAGTGATAGGTCGCGCGCCAGTTTGCGCCTGGCCCGAGCACGCTGAAAACTGCCTTCGCGCGAGGTCTTATGCTCTAAGTGAGCTCGCCAATGGCGTCAAGAGTTAGGAGGACGTCGGGCATCAGAGACACTACAGGGTTTCGGGAAGCTGTGGAGCAGCAACCAAGTCCATCGCAGATTTGAGCTCTCCTTGCAGTGTATTCAGTTCACAACAGGTAACACAAATAGAAATCGAACTCAAGATGGCTCATGGAACATTAAATGGGATAGGTACTAACACACAGGGCCAGCCTCATCTACATATCCATAATCAACTACTGGCAAGCCTCAGGCTTTAGCACAGGCGGTTTTTGTGGCTTGTTGTAGTTAAAGTACGCATGTCCTCACAGACTCATGTAACGAAATTGATGGGGACATTGCGGGGAAAAACGGGCATGTTAGGAGGCAGCTCACTAATCCTACGAGATGGTGCTAATGGGCTGCATCGACTGCAACACTGGGGGCATCAAGCATGGGACGTGCGTAGGGGGAGGGGGGGGAGGATCGGTGCATCGGAAGTAGTGCGTCAGGAGTGTGGTATCGGCGCAAGCAACCCTCCTCTTGCAGAAAGCACTGAGCATGTCTGCAATGAGCTCAAATGGGAAATTGTGGCCCGAGAGGGGCAGTTCTTGAGCGGCAGAATGGTGTCAGAACAGTTCGGAAGGGACCTGCATTCGAAATTAATCAGACCTAGCAACCCCTGCAGCTGACGCGTGGAAGGTGGGGAGAGCGGGAGGGGTTGGACGAAACCTCTGCAGGGTAACGGTATATTTGACCAGATGTCCGAAAACTGGGAGGCTAGGAGCGTTAAATATACACTGGAATTGGTTAAGAATAACGCCAAATTTGGAAGACAAGCGCTGTTGCGAGATGACCCGCATATTTTTTGGTGGTAGAGGTGGCCACCAAAAAGTTCATCGGTTTGGGCGTAGACAAAGGTGAGGCCATGAAACACCCTGCCCATGGACCATTGGAAGGTTTGGGAGGGGGGGGG